CTTATAAGGGCCCTATCAAGCCACAACTTTACGTCCCAAACGCCCGCCACGCCCGCCCGCCCACAAATGGACGACCGTTCCTGACGCTCGTATTCATTCATTTGCTAAGCAAATTATGAAGCGAAGGGATTGGTATGAAGCGGCCGTGATGCTGCATGCATATATGGGTACACATATGCAGCCGTATCTTCGGTAGCGGTGATTGGCAAGATGCCTACGGGAAACTCGTCCGAAATCGATTTTCAAGTCACTGAGAACGGAGGCTTTTTCTTCGCAGGATTTTGACCGTTTCACTCCGTTCTTTCGCCATTTCCCCACTATACAGCGCCCTACTAGCATTTTAGGCTAAGTAGGAAACCATCGTGCCAACCGCCTTTAACGCGCCCCATCATCCGCAACGAATAAGACTGCAACCGCCATTCCAGCCACCATACCTTCCTCAGTCTTCTTGACAGAAAGCAGTTATAAGAGGATCATTTCTCCCACTTCTAGAACGCTAAGTAGGCGTCCGAGCAATTTCCCCATCAACTCATATCTCTATTGCTGATTGAGAACTCACTCGCTCTAAATAATCTCTTCGAATGCTCACGCGCTAATCGCGCCACAAACGCCTGGAGGTGTGGAAAGCAGTAGCCTCTTGCTGCAGAAACAATCCGTCTTGGTCACTAACTCAGTAGTTACTCAAGTAGTGACACAATGATGGCACATTCGCTTGCACTTTGTGCATGGCGTCGTTTAACATTTATGCTTCACCGCCCTGTCACAATACGCGCTAGGGCGCTGCAAAATTTCATCCCTGGAAGGTTCCAACTGCTTTGAAAACCTTACAACCTGCAAATTTGTTGGCACCCCTCCCCCTCCTTTTGTGTGCAACAAATAGATTACCAGAACAAGGCTACCATTTACTTAGGGGCAATGAGCAAATTTACCCTCATGTACATCGCTGGAACTCATTCGCCTGGTCGATCACAAGTTTCAGGAGCGACTGGGCCAATAAAAGGGAAGAATCACCCCTGAGTCCCCCCCAGGCAACGTGCCTTGACACGTCACGAATTTTTCGTCAATAACTAGTATCCTTTCCACACGAAAGAGGAACTAAATGTGGGTCTTACTTTGGCATGGTGCACATACGGCGATCCCATATTTGCACTTGCACTGGGATTCTTTGAAGCTACGAAATGTCATGGCTTCCGATTCGACTATACAATCCTTCCTTCGTTCCCTGCAGCACTTAGGACGCAGTTCTGGCGCAGTTCTCATTGGGACGGTTCTAGCGCTTGAAGGAAAAACGAAACGATCGCTGCCACTGAGAAGAGTATTTTTGCCTAAGTTTATGCGAAAGCAGCTCCTGTGACTGAACACATTTCTTCAAGCGAAAAATGATTTTTCCAATCCATAGATGGTCAGTAGATGCAGGTTGTTTCTACCTCCCATAACCTTTACAGTAAGACAGAAATATTTGTCTGCTTCAACTGCAAATGCCCTGGATTCCCTGCACCGGAGTGCACCTTACTAGAATAGGCACACCGAGTAGCTTCGTCTCAGGATATATGTAAACAGACCACGTCGTACGATGGGGAATCCACAAGAGGGGGCGTACTTTCCTTCGAGAGAAATTTGCGGCTTTAGGACAAAAATTGAAAGAATTTCTACTGGCTGTTGACTTTTCGCGGTTTTCCCGTTTCGCATGAGCTATTCCAAAATTTTCTCAAGTGGCAGGACATGCCCTTTCCGCATACCGCCTCCCCTCTCCTTCCTCTTTCCTTCTTCCTTCCTTTCTTCCCTCTCTCTTCCTTATTTCCTACCCTTCAGAAGCTCGGCCAAAAGATACAATGAGAGAATACTTTTGGACCCCCGCAGTGATAGAGCATTCGATTGACAGAAGCTGCAAGTCTCCCGATAGGTCAGATCACCATGAACCCGAAAGCAGTATAACGTCCTCATCATTGCGGACTGTCGGGGGTGGCGTAAGCAGGCGGTTCGAGTCCGCGTTCGGCTCCTTTGCTCTACCAATGGCGATCGGGTAGAAATCGATTTAGGAAGGAAACAACCAATGATGGAAACGCCGCATGTGAGAACCGCTGATTGCGACCCGACAATTGCGATGATATCAAGTGTATCTCACCGTGAGGACAGTTTCTAATAGAGCTGTTCTGTTCCTCTAGTATCTTTCTACTCAATTAGATTTAGTAAACGTTGCATTTCAACGGGCACTTCTGAGCCAACAAATTTTCAGATTTATAAATCACAACTGTTGAAACTTTCACAAAATAAGACTTCAAAAAGACAATACGGCATCGTCGAAATGAAGCACTCTATTGTTAAATCCCCTATGGGTTTCCTATTCTTATTGAAAATAGGCCTTTATGATAATGATATGATATCAGACATCAAGAAAAGCCGTTTTGGCTGGATGACCTGACCGGGAGACTAGCTACGCCGCCAAGCCCTGTGACCCTCGCTGGACCATATTACTTTCAGCCTTCTAAGTCACCCAGTGAGAGATCACACTGCTGCTTCTTTCATGTTGGTCCCTCGAATAGCGTGCGTCCATGCAGGCAGCCCGTCACGTCGTGCGCGTGCATTCTAACGAGCCGCGTTGCGTTCGCGCGATGGCTAATTCATTTCGCCGCGCCCGAATGGCTGCTAATGCGAGGCTGCGGCGCATGAGCGCCAATTTCCCGCAATCGACGGCAATCCCAAAGGCTCAGCCTTCCAATGGTACCGGACGCGCACCACTTCACCGAGCATCCTCCCATAGCATTACAAATGCTTTGTGAAAATATCGAATAGACCGAACTATCGCCATTCTTAAACCATTCAATTCACATAGAAACAATATTTTATTGACAAAAAAGAAAAATATGACATATATGTATATTAACAACAAACACAGTGAAAGTATGCGTACGCAATACGATCGCGTCACACGCGACAAGTGTTTTTTCACACCATTAGGGCGCATTGGGTAGGGTGTGCGTGTCTATGTGTGTGTGTGGGTTATTGAAAAAGGGCAATGGCTAACAGTGTAATCACAAAATTTCAACGCGACATATACAAAACGCACAACAGCTTTGTGAATATCTGGTGATCTCGGCAAACAAAATACGAGCATTTGATCACATAGGCACAATTGACGTGGCGTGGACGACCACCATCTCACCGCGCGCGCGCGAGCGACACGGGCGATTCGAGCGATGGCGACTCACAGTCGCGTGACGTTGCCCGCAACGTCTCGTTTGTCAGAACATCACTTCCATGACTACGATTAATAAGTTTTATTAAAGAACGAGATCGCCTCACAAATCATTCTGATCTATCGACACACGTCAGTCTACGCACAGCCTGAAAGCCGAATTAATTTCTGAGCGCCTAACCGCACACATGAAAAATTGAATGCCTGACGTTGTCGACGACTATTTCTCGAATCGCCCTGCGAACATATACATAACACCATTATACACACATAGGCCACGTAACCACAATGCGCTACACCATACAAATCGCCTGAACAGCTCACACTGCGATCGTTTGGGTAGAATTCGGTGCTGTCGATGAAGAAATTCTCGACTTTCTCTTTCAGGACACATTCCGAGCTGAGCTGACTCATAGTCCGCAATCTTGAAGATTCACCCACTTTCGCAGCTGTACAATGACTGAAGATAACGCTGCAGCCGTTATTGGTCAAAGGAACACCACCCGTAGAAGTTGCCCCACCCCTATGGGGTGAGATATGCCAGCGGTCCTATGTTACAATGAACAACATTACATTCGTTTTTGTTTAGCACCGTGTCTGCCGTCTCGCTCCTCTACCTCTTCTCTCGTCCCTTTCATCTGGCCTCTCTTCCGCGCAGCACTGTCTCGCACCTTCGGAACTTCGCTCAATCGGTTTCGACGCTTTTTCCCCTGTAACTTAGTCTAGGTATTTATATGTGGATCCCTTTGCCCACGAATATAAACAGCGAGAATGTGCCTTTAATTAAAACCGAATTTCACTAAAGTTTTCAGCACCAAATTCCTTATTCTGTGAACTGCCCAAACGATCGCATATAGTCTCAATAATCACAAATAGAAATCTGATGAGGGATGAGGGCCAGGTGATACACACACAAACATATACACCGAACGTAAGGAGAAGGAAAGACGTTCGGTCAAGGCGGCTTCTATAAGCAGATGCGCATCAAAAATAAAAATAAAAAAATAACCAATCGCATGCGCAATGTATAGTCAACGCAAAATCCTGAGTATCAAAGCATGAAAACCCTAAATACGCAATGGAGGAATACATACAAGGACAGGCATGCACATGCATTCTACGTAAATCAGAACAATAACTTAGTAGGTCAGTGGATACACTATTTAGCGTAGATTTTAGTGCACATGCCACTCCCTGGAGGCAAAAATCAGGAGGTGAGGGACATGCAAGCGAAGCAATTTTTACAGGAACATTGATTGAGAAGGGAAGAAATAGTAGCTTAATTTGGAAAAGTAAAAAGCGGCTAATCGAACACCACCGGGTCGAAGATCTTGGGCTATCGAATCGCACTCTATCAATAATCAATAATGGCCCTAAATAGGAAAAATCTCTGTCTAGAAGTAGATCATATTGTTTTTTGCACAAAGAAGGTGTGTATTCATGTGTGCATGAAATAAACAAATAAAGTATATGTATATGGGGGAAAGCGTGCGCTTAAAAGCGAAAAAATATGGAAGAAACGGGGAACGAACGAAGCAAAATAACAACACAGACGGTAATCGATCAAATCGATCAGAAATGGAGGACGGCAGGCCCGTATTGAACAGACGTCATTGATCACAATATAGTAGAGGAAGAATGGGGATAACATCAATGAATATAGACACCATGGTTGCTAATACAATTGCAATGAGGGAGAGCCGACCATCGGAACGATGAAGCACTAACTGCCTCTCGGAACAGATATGACCGGAAGACGTAAATATACCACGTACATACAGAAGAAGCAGACTGCCTTCAGAGGCTATTCAACCAGCACCGCCTTTTGCTTGTCGACGTCCAGCCGACACACCGGACATTTCTTGTTATACACCAGCCATTTATCGATGCAGTTCACGTGGAATATGTGCGTACAACGCAAATTTCGCACTTCTTCGCCGGTCTCAAACTCACACAGGCACACCGTGCACCGTTCTATTTCGTTTTCCGGCACCTGAAACACAGAACAGTCAATAAAGTAGGGAAAAAAGAGCTCACTGCAACGTTTGTGGCTCAGCTACGAGTCATGTAGCTGCAAATTCGAAACATGGCGTTACTTCAAAGGTTTGTCGTTGAGGCAACGTCCAAGCTTCGCGATGACGCGCAAAAATTGTAAGAGCGCTCCATTCCTATAGACGCGAACGCAGCCGCTTTGGGAGAGCACAGGATAACAGCAGGACTACCTGCTGCTGCCTTCACACAATCTGGTACCCTCCCAAAGCCCTAGCGGCCAGGGTCGATCGATACCAGACTGCGGGATTAGGCAAAGCGTACCCTCCTGTTTCCCCAAGCTCTCTTCTTTCGAAGTACAAGCCGCCGGGGCCAATCGATTCACGTTCGCGGCTGCGTTCGCGTCTGTAGCATTGGAGCGACGATGCAATCGTAGCGCATGATACATGGCGAAAAGAAGCCACCTTTACCGTTAACCTTTTCACGCTCAAAATTTTCAAATTGAAGGACTCTTGTGTAAGCGCAGGACTATGTAAACAGCGAAAAGGATAGCTGGTTTAAAGAAATTGTTCGGGATAGCCGAGAGGGTGTTGCCAACGACGCCATCTACGCGCTCTTCCTCTTCCAGCCTTTTTCACGACCACAAACAGCGGGAAGTGGAGTCGGATGCCAACGACGTCTTTCCTTTGCTCCGCTCACCCGGCAATCCCGAATATTACCCAATTCACAGACTCATACAAAGACCCTTCGAAAAAGACAGGCATTAATGGAAACTCCTTAAGGGGCCAAAAGAGCATGGACTTTGGATGAGACGAGCAGAAAAGTTACAAGAATTGGGACCATTCGTTAGCAGTAAGGCGTAAAAGGCAAGAAACTATAAACCAATCGTATTTCTTACCTCGACATCTTTTATGAAGTTCATCTTTTCGGTACATTTCTCAATATCCTGTGGACTAGCACCAACTGGCAAAGGTTCGGCGACCGGTGCAGCAAACATGTGATGTCGATCCAGCGGTCGTTCGACCATACCGAGAAGTTCGGGAGGCATTGCGGAGTTTACTAACATGTGTAATTCCAGGCGACCATTCTGAAATTCACAGTTTCTACACCAGCAGTCAATAAGTTTTACTTAGTAAACAAGTACAGAAAGCAGCCAAACAAAACCCAGAAATATGAAAGCCCAAAGACAGGAAAGTAGTTCAAACTGACAGGCAGACGTACCGACGCCGCCGGATAGCCTCCGGTTCGCGGTAGTACGTAGAGTCCCGTGGAGCTGGGCAAAAGACGACCGAATTGGCTCAGCTGTTCTTGTTGCCGTTGTTGCTGCTGTTGTTGGTGACGTTGCATAGACTCTAACATGTGACTGGCAAATATCGCATCGTGTACATAGCGGAGACCAGCTGATGCCATTTGCGATAGTTGTGCAGGTGGAGCGAGATGTGGGAATGGCGGATTTCCAGGTACAGGCATTGGTTGAGCACTTAAAAGGACCATGATAACTGGAGAGGGTCAAAGATTTTTTTAGTAGCATGAAACAAGATGGTTCGAATCAAAACTTACGGTTGAAGCGGAGGGGGTGGAGGATTCAATGGAACCGGAGCAGCTCCTGCAACAGCCGCAGAATGCGGACAGTAGGCGCAATAGCATGGCATGCAAGCAGGACATGGTCCGCGTGAACCACAATGAGTGCATTGCCCAGGAGAAGCGGCAAAATCGGTGCCATTGACGCTGGCCGCAGCCGCTGCTGCGGCTGCCACCAGCTGAGACGTAGACGGTGGTTGATCAGGTTGAACTTGCTGCTGCATACTAGGCACTTGCGGAGCGGGTGGCTGAGTCATTGGCTCTGGTTGGACGGCCTAGAAATGCGAAGATGTGCAGTGATTGCAAAAGAACTCCAAGAGCACTTGAACCAACCTGAATTTCTCGATTGCGTGTTCCACCGCTAGTGACTCGCCGTAACTTTGGTGCACGAGCTGATGAATCGAGATTCGACTGAACACGCGACGATATTGGAGCACCACGTTTCAATCGCATCGCCATGGAACGCATCTGAGGGGCGAGTGTAGGCGGTAACGACGTATGCTGTCGAGCTATCTACAATTGAAAACCTTTATATCAACCTGCGTTCAAAGGCAAAAAGCCATACAATGAAGAAAAAATTTCACTGGTAGATGAACCATTGCTGAGTTTGACGGAAATAAATGAGTTTCTTGACATAATAGCGAAAAGCGCCACTGTTACGCTGCTAAACAGCTCAACGCCTCCGAAATACGGAGCACAGGTTTTTCCTTCTCATATATGACCGGAAGAACGACCATTACCAGGATTACCTTCCACGAAGAAAGCCCCATTTCAGATGGGAGGAGTCCTAAGGGAAAAGTTATGAGACAAAAGGAGGGTATTCTCGTAAGCACACGCGATCCCTTTAAACGATAGGGCGCCTGACGGGGCATGACTTGAAGCGGCGCTAGATCAGATATCCCATCGGATGTAGCGGGCTCATGCTGCCATCATTGGTGGAAAAAGGGCGACCCAGAAAGTGATGTGTGAGTGACCCTTCATCTTCTGCACAAAAAGTAACTACGGACAGATTGCAGGACATTGTAGATGGATGGAGGAGGGGCAGAGAAATTAAAATCACAGTGTCGAGTATTGGTAATAGGAAGCGCTATGCAGGAAACACAGAAAACATTTCAGAGTGAAAACTCTGCGGATGTCGCTTCGAAGGTTGAAACAAGCGATACTATACCCCCCCCCACAACGTTCTTTGCGGTTCCGCTTGCCTTTCGAAACATATGTTCTCATGCAGCGGCCAAATGGAGATTGTTTTGCTTGCCGTGCCTTATCGAACTCGCCATAGTGTTTTTTGTATACAAGAACTATACGGAAATCAATGA